CCAGCGAAACAGGGTCGGCTGCAGATGACTGCTGCGAGCCGACTTTCGCCTAAGGTGCACTTGGCTCTTCAGTACCTCATACGCAACTACTTTCGTATTGAAAACGTTGTTGCTGTACGACTTGCCAAGAGCCTGACGAAGTTGCCTGCTGCACCCTATGCAGACAGCTGTACACTAGTGCACTATGATAATGATGTGACCCCTGGTTTTCATTACTATGAAGCTGATGGCACTGCCTTGAACATCTATGACATCACAGGATCTACACACTCACGCATCATCCAGTGTCTTAAATCCAGGAAGTCGTCTGCTGGATTTGACCGAGACCTCACTAAGTTTGAGGAACTCGCTGATGGTCCACCACCAAGCGAGTCACCTCCAGCAGCTGCTCCTGAGGAGCCTCCTACGGATAACGATGGTCGGCTCCCGACCATCATAGAGGAAACAGAAGAAGATCTGGATGCTTTTGTCTTGAAGTCGTGGTATGCTGAACTGATGGATGACAGAACACTCCTTGAAGCTGACACAGAGGAAGTCATGCATACAGTTCCCACATACATGACAGACACACAGTGTGTGTTAGTCTCTACGACCTGTGAAGATGTGCAAGGCCACTTGCCGGAGCGGGGTCACCCGCCAGGATACGACATGGACACTTCTTACTACGTTCCTTTATGCTCCACGGATCCGGACAGTAAATATGATCTGGACTCCGATGAGCACGGGAAGTACATCGAGCTCTGCTTCACAGCAGACATGTCCAAAGTCGTCCTGTCCGAGCAGCAACACCGATTGTTGGATGACAGCAGCGTCACAACTATGCGAGTATACGTTAGTGCTGCTTCCAAACGTGCCGTGGTCGTCAAGGAAGACGATCTACTCACGAAGGCCGACATCCAAGCAAATCCGGTCAAAGTTTCCAAAGCCCTTTACACAGAATTGAAGACTTGGCTTGACAACAAATGCTTCCAGATGACTGACTTGAGCAAAGCGTCTAACATCATGACGTCACGCTACGTATACAAATGGAAGTTTGTCAAGAACGAAAAGGGCGAAATGGAAAGGACGATCAGGTTACGCTTGGTACTCCGTGGCTTCATGGACCTTGAAGCCTTTGATGTCGAAACCTTCTCTGGCACGGCAAGGAGGTCAAGCCAGAGACTGCTCGCAAGTTCTGCTGCATGCAACAAAGCTTGGATCATCGCTTCCCTGGACATCAACATGGCTTTCTTGAAGGGACTGACCTATGGCGAGCTCGCCGCGGCAACGGGCGAGAAAGAGCGTGTGGTGTGCTTCACACTACCACCTGGGTCAGCAGCTGTCCTTCGCACGCTGCCAGGCTTTGAGTCATATGACGAATCAAAGCATTGTCTTCGGTGTCTGAAGCCGGGGACGGGCACGAAGGATGCTCCCAGGGCATTCTCGCTGAAGCTCAGGTCCATCACTAGGAGCTTTGGGCTACAGCCTACTTCATACGACGAAGAGTTCGAGATGAGCTCAAACCTCTTGACAGCCAAGCGCGTTGATGACATCAATATGACTGGGAAGGAAGAGGCTATTGACAAGTATGTCAAGTGTGTTGAAGATACGTTTGGGAAGTGCAAACTGATACACAAATTGTGCCGTTCGGTATAACAAGACCGATGATGGGAGCGTCATTCTTGATCAGGACGAATACATCAAACAGCTTCGTCCTATCACACATCCAGAACTCACAGGAGCTGATCCTGAGAGCAAAGCGACAAAGACGATTTCTGATATGTTCGTCAGTCTTCGTGGCGCTCTAGCCTATGCGTTGATCACGCAGGTATGGCTGATGGTCTATGTTGTCTCACTACAACGTATCCAGGAACCGACAAACATCCAGGTACGACGACTAAACGCGGTTACCAGAAAACTACAGGCAGGTCCGAAGAAGATCGTGTATCAAGCTATGACCCCAACAGGAGAAGTCGACCTGCATAGCGATTCTGGCTATCGTCGTCTCAACGGAGATGAAGACGACGAAGTCAAAGGCTATGGTATCCGCGGGGCTAACCTGCTGAGGCGTGGCCACACGCAAGCGGGGAAACCCGTCGTGCACCTGGTGGACGCATACTGCAAGTCTCATCGACTGCAGGTGCGTTCGAGCTACTCTGCGGAAACACTGGCAGCAGCCCACAACTTGGAAGACTGCTACCCGACCATTGTAACGCTCCACGAGCTACACTCGGGACCATTGACCCCCACACAGTTAAAGAACATATTGGAAATGGGTGGTCTATGTATCAAAGTCACTCTGACTATTGATGCCGAGTCTGTCTTCAAGTCTTTGTCTAGCAAAGATCTGAAGAAGCCCACAGAATGTACTCTGCTTGGGCACATTAGCTGGATCCGCCAGATGATGGAGCGCGGAATCGTTGAAAGCGTTCAATGGTGTGACACGCGGGATATGACTGCCGATGGTCATACCAAAGGTAGTATTGACCGCGCGTTGCTCCTACAAGTAATGGCCGGCCAGCAATCCTTCAAGCACGAGCTGAAGAAACATACACCGTATAGGGCGGGCAGGTCGTCTCAGGACGGCCCTGCCTCCCGAGCTAGCGGGGAAACCCGCGGGCAGGTGCGCTTTAATAGCGAGGAAACTCGCCGGTAGCGAGGCTACTCGCGCGCCCTTTCCTTGTAGGCAGCCGCTGCTGCTTAGCACTGTTTTTCCGCATAATGTAGAAGTGCGGTGCCTGCTCGTCTCCTCCCCCTCCGACTTTAAACGGAGAAGGTTAAAGGCGAGGTATAAATCGAGCATGTACCGCTGCCGTGCCTGGCTCAAGCCGGGCCCGGCCTAATATGTGATTGTGCCTCACCGAGGCGCACGACTTGCATCAGAGATCGGAAAATACCTTTTCCATTGACGATGCCCATCCTATCCTTTACTCCAGATCCCATGCTTCGTCTTGCTCTCTTGCTCATGCGATATGAGCCAAAGCCTGGGATATGGCAGCGCTTAAAGCGTAACACATACCTAAGCTTACCAGCTTGTTTTCGACTGTGGGGCCCAGGCCACGCCGCTGGGGATGGGGATCGGTTAAACGATGCTCATCCTCCGCTTCTCCTAGCGCGATGCATGTGTGTTGCCTTGTCTCGTCTTGTGAAACAGCCTCCTGGATCGCGTGGGCAGCGATGTTTGGCGTGTCCCCCGTCGGGAGTTGCCCCTCAACTTGTTTTGCATTCGGCCGCCTCGAGCCACGAAATAGCCACGACACGACATCGGGTTTAGCCACTCATAGCCATGTTCGGACACGAACTTCTTACATACGAAATTTGTGTTTTACACGGTCGCATTAGACATGTTTAGTCTCTCGCACGCCACGCTTGAACAAGAACCAGGCGCGGCTATTCCGGGCTAGAACCTGTATCTTAGTATGTGTTGCACCGCGTTGAGCCGAGAGCAACGTCCTGGTTATTGCATCCGCGATGTTGCCATACATCTTCCTAAGTCCGAAGGTCCCTCATCACAGGTCGTTGCAGGCAAGGCCTCCTCCTCCTCGCTGCAGCAAGAGGTGCCCCCCCTGGAAGAAAGACGATCACATCCCGCGGGCCTGCCATGTTCGGGCGAGAGCTCCGTCCCGAAAATGAGTTGCCTTCACTATCGTTGAACCGATCACCATCCCCATCCCCATCCCCATCCCCATCCCGAGCCCCACCATCTCACCACCCCAGTTGGGGACATGCCCCTCGAGACCCGAGTGGATCAGCCTTTATCCCCATCGAGGGGGGGGGGTAGACAAGCCAGTGGGGCCCAGACCGCGCGAGTGGGGATAGGGATCGGTTAAACGATGCTCATGCCTTGCACCCTTCGAACGAATGGTCGAGCAAGCGAAAAAGGCTGGACAATGAAGTTACGCGAGGCGTCCAGCGGATAGCCCGACTTTTGAAACAAAAACGAACCAAGCGTCCCACCCTCCTCCTCCTCCTCGTCCTCCTCCCCCTCTTTCCTCCTCCTCCTCCTCCTCTTCGTCCTCCTCCTCCTCCTCCTCCTCCTCCTCCTCCCAGCACGTGTTCAAGCCTCCAGTTCTTGCGTTTGACGAGCTCTTCCAGCTTCTGAGTCTTGGTTTGGATGAGCTCTCCCGCGGGAGCCCCCTTTTGAGAAAGGAGGTCGGAACTTGTGGTCCTCCGTGGCTGCTGCAGCCGTTGGAGCAGCATGCGCGCGGCGCTCAGGTGGGAGCCGCATTTCCAGACGACTGGCCCTCCGTGCACGAAGCTGCTGCAGGTGCTGAAGGCGAGTGTGCGCAGCGCCACGGCGAGAGCCCCTTGTCGTAGACGAGTGGTCCTTCGTCCTTGGGGTTGTTGCACTGTTGGGGCGGGCCGCGACGTTAAGACGATAGACTCGTTTCGGACACGACCGGCCTTCCAGAGCCAGGCTCTTACTTGGCGGGAGGGGCGCAGGGGAAGAGCATAGGTTTCGGGTGGGTTGTGAGGAAGTGTTGGAGAGCATTCGACGGCTCTAGGGGCTTGGGTGGCTTTGGTCGTTTGCCAATTGGCCCTCGTGTTTCCCTCCCTCCTTCATTTTCCGCCGCCCCCTCCCCTATTCCCTTTTCCTTTCCCAATCTCCCTCTTCTCTAGACTGCATCTTCCCCTCCCTCCCGTTCGACGCCTCCCTCCCCCACCCCTCAAGGTCCCCCTCGGTCAGCAGCTGGTAACCTCTGCAGACCTCCGAGAACCCCCCCGGAGCCGCCGCGATCCCGAAGACCAATGGAGATTCTCCGAAGGTCTCCGCTTCCCTCCTCTTACCTGCTCGGCCGGGAATGTCGCACTCTTTTTCCGCCTCCCTCACCCCTCGCCTCTCTCTCTTCCGTCCTTTTTCCTCCCTCCTCCTCCTCCCCTTCCCTCCCCTCCCCCTCCCCATCCTCCCTCCCCATTTTCCCCCTGTTCCCTCCCTTCTGGCATCCCTCCTCGGGAAGGCAGGCTGGGGAGGGACGAGGTGCCGCTTCATGGGCCATCCACCCACCCACCCACCCAGCCAGGCCATCAAGCTCGCGGCGGAGGCGGACGAGCCCGTCGAGCAGAATTTTGTTCGAAAGCACTCGTTGGAGCAGGCGAAGGAGTTGAACATCTCCCTGCGGCAGGCGGGGTCGCGGGGTGGATGACAGGGATGGGGTGGAGGGCAACGCCTGAGTCATCAGAAGTATGAGCACAGTGGCGGTGCCAGATGAGGGGGGGACGAAGACCGGCAGGAGGTATCAGGTTGCATTGTGATGTAGGAGCGGGCGCAGGTATGCGGTGCCCGGGAGGCAGCAGGGATGGGATAGGGAGGAGGATGACGGTGGAGGCAGGTCGGGAGTGCGGAGGAAGAGTCAGTAGGAGGTGGACGGAAGATGAGGTGGAACTGTGGTCTGTCGATCGGCAGGTCGTAGCAGCCGTGGCTGCAGTAGGAGTTGCACGCGTAGTAGCAGTAGCCGTGGCGGTGCTAGTATTAGAAGGGATGGTAAGCATTTCAGCAGCAGAAGTTGTCGTAGTCGTCGCCACAGTCAAGTGGTAGTCAGGGGAAGCGGAGGCGGATGATAAGAAGGAGGTCGCTGGAATTTTGATTCAGGAGGAGGAGGGGTAGGAGGAGAAAGACGCGGAAAATCATGGGCAGGGGAAGAAGGGTATGCGCAACCTTCCACTCGAGCAAACAAATGCACCCCAGAACGCGCTCATCAAGGCGTTCCCCCTGTTACCTCCTATCTTTTCTTATCCCTCCTGACCTCCCTCCCTACCAACCCGACCTCCCTCAACTCACCTCCACCCCGTCTCTCGATTATCTACACCTCAACCCCCTTCACATCTTCCTACCCTCCCTCTGCCCTCCCGCCCTTTCCCCCCCTCCCATACCGCTCCGCTTCCCGTCCGCCCTCCTTCGCTCTCTTCCCCTCTCTTGCCCTCTCATCCCATGCCGTGCGTACCCTCAGCCAGGGAGACCTGGAGCGCAGTCGCCCACGCCCCTGACCAGGGGGGAGGGGGAAAAGGAGGAGAAGGAGGAGGAGGAGGAGTTCGGAGTTAGGAGCTAGTAGGAGGGGCAGGGAAGGGGGCAATTGGAGAGTGCCCTCTCTCCCATGTCCCCTCTCAGCGCAGTGCTGCCGCGTCTTGTGTGTCCGCCAGCGAAATCAGGCTGCCACGCGCGTGTTCTCCAACGCGGCCGGGTCGTACTCCGCCAACGTTGGCATTGCTATTGAGAACGGCGGCAACATCGACGAGGACTTGGCATGCTCCACGGGGGGGCAATGACGAGGTGAATCTTCACTGGGCCTGTCGGCCTTGTGTCCGATGATGTGCTTTTGTAGCAGTGGCACGCTTTCCCCCGTGATCCCGGGTCATCCTCGGCCAAGCAGGATCATCGCCATTTTCTTCCTCCTTTGTCATTCTATCATGTTTAAATTAAAGCATCCTCAGCCTGCTTCCTTTCTGGAGTGTTTTTCCCTCCGTATTCCCTCCGCGACCCTCCTTATTCCTGCATTATCTTTTTTCGTGCCATCTCATTTTCTTCCCTCCTCGCTACCCCCTCCATGGTTGCTCCGTCCTTCTCTCGCCCCTTCTCCCTCCACTCCCCGTCCTATTCTCTCCTTCCCCCCCGCTCTTCGCTCCTCCTCCCTTCTGTTTCCACCTTCTAGTTAATCCTTCACCCACATCCTTCGTTCCTCTCCTCCCTCCTCCATCCCACCCTCCTCCCTTCAATCCCCTGTCCGTCCTCCTACCTCGGTCCTTCGCAGGGCAGTTCTCTGAAAGTGGCACACCACTGTCCCAGCGATAGTCCTGCTGCTGCTCCTTCCCTCGCCTCGTCCTTGTCCTTGTCGTCGCTCTTCACATCCTCCTTTTCCTCGTCATCGCCACTTCCCTTCTTGTAAATCGCGTCCTCGTCCTCCCCCTCCCCACCCACCCCACCCACCCGCCCACCCTCAAGCTCATGCCTCCCCCTAATCCTTTAGCTATTGTCCATGTCTGCCTCCTCATTTTCCTCTACCTCTACCTCCCTTCCTCCCACCATCTTATCCCTTCTGCTTTCCCTGCGTATTTTGTTTTTCTTTTTGGGCATTCGTAGGGTGCTGGCTACCCAGCGACATCGTATGATACGGCTTGAGGCTGCGAAGCTGGAGGCTTTCCTGTTTGTAATCGTGGCATTCCTTGTCGTAGTCGTTGTAGGGTAAACTTCAGATTGCCTCCCCATACTCCCCTGAGCCATCCTCCCTCTGTACTTCCTCATCCATCCGTCCGTCCCATCTTTTTTTTTCCGTTTCCTCCTCAACCTCAGGCCTTCTCTTTTTCCCCCTCCATACATCCTTCGCTTCCCTATTCGTGTAACGCGCATCTTTTTGGTTCTTGAGGACATATCGGCTTGCGCATACTTCGGTCGACAGACGGGGGGCGTACCCTTTTTCCCCAAACTGTGCTTGCACTCAGGGGTTCTTACTCCTCTACGGTGACTGAGCCCCAGCGGCTGTCCGGCTGGCTCGTCGCCGCCCGTCACCGCCGTCGCTACTGGGCCCCGGTGGTCGTCCAGCCGGCTCGTCGCTGCCGGTCGCCGCCCGTCCCCGTCGTCTTGGTGGGGCCCCAGTGGCGGTCCGGCCGGCTCGTCGCCACCCGTTGCCGCGTTGTTTTGAATTGTTTTGCATTGTTTTGCATTGCTTTGCATTTGCATTGCGTTGCATTGCATCGCAATGCATCGGTTTGCATCGCTTTTGGTCGATTTGCATCGCTTTTCATTGTTTTGTATTGTTCACCATCATATTGCACCGCCTTGCATTCCTTTACGTTGCTTTGACCTTTGCAGCGCATTGCAGCGTTGTGCATTGGTTGGAATCGCTTTGCATTGCGTTGTTTTGCTTTGCATTGCATTGCATTGCATTGCATCGTTTTGCATCAATTTGCATCGCAATGCGTTGGTCTGCATTACGTTGCCTTGCGTTGGATTGCATTGATCGGTTTTGCATTGATGTGCATTGCTTTGCATTGTTTGTCATTGCTTCGCCTTGCTTTGCATTGCTTTGCATCGCAATGCATAATGTGTCAACGCTTTTCATTGTTGTCAATCGGTTTTTCACGGCTTTGCATTGCTTTGTATCGCTGCTCATCGATTTGCATCACTTTGCACTTTTTGCATTTCTTTGCATCGCAACGCGTTGCTTTGCATTGCCTTACATCGCAACGTATCGCGTTGCATTTGCATCGCAAGGCATTACGTTGCATTGCATTACTTTGCATTGTTTGAATCGCTTTGCATTGATTTCAATTGCTTTGCACTACGTTGCGTTGCACTGCTGTGCATTTCTGTGCTTTTCTTTTTGTTGCATTGCTTGTCGTTGTTTTGTATTGCTTTGCATAGCTCCGCATTGCTGTACTTTGCTTTGAACCGCCTAGCACAAGTTGCATCGCTTTTTATCGCTGTGCATTGCTTCGCATTGCCATGCATCCCAGTGCATTGCGTAGTTTTGCATTGATTTGCACCGCCCTGCGTCGCTTCGCATTGCTTTATATTGTGTTGCGTTGCATTGCATTGCTTTTCATTGTTGTGCATGTCTTTGCATTACGTTGCGTTGCATTGTGTTGATTTGCATTGCCTTGCTTCGCCCTGCATCGCCTTGCATCGCTTTGCATCGCTTCGCATCACTTTGCATGGCAGTGCAACGCTTTGCATCGCCTGGCATCGCTTCTCATTTTTTCTCACTGCTTCGTATAGTTGTGCATTTTCTTGTATCGCGTTGTTGTGTTGTTTTGCATCGCCTTGCATCCCTGTGCGTTGTTTTGCATTATTATGCAACGCAATATAGTAGTTTGCATTGCGTTACATCGCAACGCAGCGCATTGTATCGCTTTGCATTGCTTTGCATCGCTTTGCGTTGTTGTTTGCATTGCTTTGCATCGCTTTGTATTGATTCTGAAGGCCTGACGGCCGGTGCCATCGATCCTGAAAGACATCGACGACGACCAGGAGGGGGAGGAGAAGGAGAAGGAGGAGGAGGCGGAGAGAAGGAGGAGGAGGAGGAGAAGGAAGAGGACAAGGACTCCCCCCTGGGCCCCCCCCCTTGGGAGGAGGACCAGAGGAGAACCGGCGTGGGAGAGGGGAGGGGAAAGGGAGTGGGACCCCCAGGGATGGATGCGTATCTGACTCCTCCCCCTCCTGGGACTCCTCCCCACCCGGGGAGGAAGACCCGAGGAGCACCGGCGCGGCGCGCCGGAGAAAGACCGGCGTGGGAGAGGAGGACCCCCAGAGGCGATGCGAATCTGACCCACCCCGCCCCCCCCTGGACCCCCCCCCTGCTGGGGAAAGGACAAACGGAAGGGGCTTCCTTTTGACGTAATGAGGACGTGGATGGAATTCCCTCAAGCTGCGAACCCGTTCCCCGAACGAGGAAGGCTTCTCTCTCTCTCTTTCTCTTTCTCTCTTTCTCTCTCCCGACGGGAGAGGACTATGGGAAAGAGGGGATGAAAGAAGGCTCCCCGTCGACGGGACCAGACAGACACCCCACACACGCCGACAGGGTCGGCGGATTTCATTTGTTTTTCGTTCCGTTGCTTTGCATTTCTGTGCATTGCTGTGTTTTGCTTTTTGTTGTGTTGGTTGTCGTTGTTTTGTATTGCTTCGCATAGCTCCGCATTGCCTTGCATTGCTTTGAACCGCCTTGCACAAGTTGCATCGCTTTTTATCGCTGTGCATTGCTTTTGCATTGCTTTGCATTGCCATGCATCCCAATGCATTGGTTCGCATTGCGTTGCACCCCAACGCATTGCTTGGGGTTGCTGTGAATCGCATTGCGTAGTTTTGCATTGATTTGCACCGCTGTGCGTTGCTTCGCATTGCTTAATGTTGCATTGCATTGTATTGCTTTTCATTGTGCATGTCTTTGCAATACGTTGCGTTGCATTGCGTTGATTTGCATCGCGTTGCATCACTTTGCATCGTTTTGCAACGCTTCGCATCACTCTGCATGGCAATGCATCGCCTGGCATCGCCTGGCATCGCTTTTCACTGCTTCTCACCGCTTCGTTTTGTTGCGCATTGTCTTGTATCGCGTTGCTGTGTTGTGTTGAATGACTTTGCATCGCTGTGCGCTGTTTTCGCGTTATTACGACATGCAACATGTGACTTGCATTGCATTGCATCGCACCGCAGCACATTGTATCGTTTTGTATTGCTTTGTATCGCTTTGCGTTTTTGTCCGCACTGCTTTGCATTGCGTTGCGTTGCTTCGCATTGCGTTGCATGGTGATACTTTGCATTGCATTGTTGTGTTGTTTGCCTTTGCATGAACTGCCATTCCTTTGCACCGCGTTGTCGTCGCTTTTCATTCTTTGCGTCACTTTGCATAAATTGCTGACGCTTCGCGAATCCCCACCAGCCCATCCAGAAACGATGCCCAGAGGAATTGCCTCGAACAGGGAAGTGGGCAGCACACAGAGGAAACCATTATGAGACATCTTGGGATATGTTGAGCCATCTTGGAGGTCGTTTTGGGCTCTCCCAGGCGCTCTTGGAGTCATCTTAATCAGTCCCGCCCCCAAGAGGCCAACATGTGGCTAAAACCTTTTGTAACATCAATGAGTTGGTATTCTCGCCGAGGCCTCTTGGAGCATCTTGGGTGCCTCTGGGGGGTCTCTTGGAGCCTTTTGGGGGTCTCTTGGGGGCCTCCTGGGGGCCTCTTGGGGGCCTCTTGGAGCCACCTTGGGGCCATCTTGGGACCTCTTGGGGCCTCCTGGGCGCTTCTTGGGGCCGTCTTGGAGGATATCGATCAAACAAGAGGGGAGCATTAATTAGCGTCCCCCCCCCAGGAGGCCAAAATGGGGCCAAAGTCTTAGTAAAACCAATAATTGTGGCTTCCTCGCCGAGGCCGTTTGGACGCTCCGACGACTTGCGGAACCCCCTGTCTTGGTCCATGGGGAGGGGGTAGGGGGAGGGGTAAACCCCTCCCCGAAGGGGAAGAAGGAGGAGTGGAAGAGGAAACTCCCTAAACCACCGACGCCCAGAGGCTGGTGGGATTTGCAACGTTTTGTATTTTTTGTGCATTGCTTTGTATCGCCAATGCTTGGTTTGCATTGCTTTGGATCGCAATGCGCAGCATTGCATCGCTGTGTATTGATTTACATGGCGTTGTATCGATTTGCGTTTCTTTGTATTGCCTGGCATTGCACTGTATTGATTTGCGTCATTATTAATCGCTTCGCTCATGCCGCCGGCCCTGGAGCCCTCTTTAGGGCCTCTTGGGGGCCTC